ACCTGATTGCAGAGAATATGAATGGGATCAAGATTAGGTGTGAGAGAAGAGAGGCTAATGATGGGATTTATATACATAGAGAGGGAAAGAACCTGATTTTTGTACCTTTTTTTTTTTAATTATCACATTAAGTGCGCATCACATGGCCAATATAATATAATAATGGTCCGCAACTAGGTAATCAATTTTATAGATGCGGGACGGTTCGGATAATGACAGTGTCATGCGGTTCAAATAATTTTAGAAATCGACGTTTTCGTCACAAATTCGGATATGGACTTTCTTGTCTATTCTTACCAATTAAATTTGCTGATCTTTAAAGGTGGGTAATTAAAAAAAAGAAGCAATTTTAGGACGTTTATAAAAATAATATTTTTGAAACATAGTTACACAAAAGTAATATTTTCAAAATTTATTCTATTTTGTTACTATATAGCACTATAGTAATATTTCAATTTTCAATTATATACTAAAATAAAAAGTCATGAACATATTTGTATGGCATTATGACAAATAGAGGTCCAATGAGTATTCAATTCAAAAACAAATTGGCCAAATGTTTGTTTATTGATGCTTTAAAAATATATTTTTCTTACGATTTATTAATAATACGATGATGGAAAACAATAGCAAGATTTATTACCGATATAAGCATATTAAAACTTATTACCGATAACAAGATTTTTTAAAATTTCTCTTAAAAATATTCCAAATACTGAGAGAGCGAGCACATGATATGACTATTCTTTTTTTTGTTTTGTTAATATAACAATACAGTTTTAGCTGTCTGTCACCTGTAACTTTATTTTCATAATATTATCATCGGAATCCGATCGATCCTTATTTTGCATATCAGTGGATACTATAGTTATTGAGATGTTTAATTTTATATTGTTGAAGCTTTCTCTAGTTGCACAGTCGTGAGCTCGTTGGACTTTGGAAGCGTAATTTCTTATTCGATAAATATGAATCATATGATATTGTAACGAGAATACATTCCTTACTGATTCAATTTGTTAGTATGCAGTTTGAAATTTCCATTGTTTCAGTAACTAATTGTACGTGTATTTTTTTCCTTTTAACAGAAATCAAGGAAAGCAACAAAAAAATATGGTGTTATATTTCAAACTACAATCTTTAATGTTTACAATAATACACCTAGTTGGATAGAACACTTCTTAACAGTAACTTAAAAGTAGACTTCACTTGTCCAAAAAAAACCAGAGAGTAGACATTTCTTAAAAAAATTACTGATTAAACAAATATTTGGGATCTTCATAATTTTCCAAGAATACAGATATTATACAGATACTTCGAGGTAGGGCTGGACCCCTACTGGATATCCGAAAAAATGTAATATTTATGATTCAATTTGTTTTTTTCGGATATCTAATTTTTCGATTTGTTTTGATTCAAAAAATTTCGGATATCTGAAATTATATATATTCGGATGTTTCGTTTCATAACAAAAAAT